ACTTTTTACCAAAAATTACAAAAATATTCATCAAAATTAGAGAATTAAAGATATCATTATGAAATGAACAAATCTGAGAGAGGTCCACATGTAGTACCTATATATGTAATATCAAAGCAATTGGACTTGCGATTTTCAACAAGAAGTCGAAAATATCACTTTTTACCAAAAATTACAAAAATATTCACCGAAATTAGAGAATTAAAGATATCATTACAAAATGAACAAATCTGAGAGAGGTCCACATGTAGTACCTATATATGTAATATCAAAGCAATTGGACTTGCGGTTTTCAACAAGAAGTCGAAAATATCACTTTTTACCAAAAATTACAAAAATATTCACCGAAATTAGAGAATTAAAGATATCATTACAAAATGAACAAATCTGAGAGAGGTCGACATGTAGTACCTATATATGTAATATCAAAGCAATTGGACTTGCGGTTTTCAACAAGAAGTCGAAAATATCACTTTTTACCAAAAATTACAAAAATATTCACCAAAATTAGAGAATTAAAGATATCATTACAAAATGAACAAATCTGAGAGAGGTCCACATGTAGTACCTATATATGTAATATCAAAGCAATTGCACTTGCGGTTTTCAACAAGAAGTCGAAAATATCACTTTTTACCAAAAATTACAAAAATATTCACCAAAATTAGAGAATTGAAGATATCATTACATCAAAGAAAGCTTAGAAAGAACTCCCATGTGCTGAGAGTATTGGAGACACATTAAATATAATTCGAAATTACTTAGCTGAAAACTAATTATGCAAATCAGAAAATTAATATGACCAGATTTGAGTGTAAAACTAATGAGGTCTGCGCAATGTAACAGAAAATCTATGTCTCCAAGTTTAATTGAAATGTGATTAGAACCAAAAAATTATGAATTATTATGCTTATTAGGGAATTAATATGAACAGATTTTTACCCCAAACTAATTAGGTTTGTACATTGTCCTAGAGCATCTTTGTACTAAGTTTCATTGAAATGGAATAATTAGTACCGTGAAAACTCCAAAATTTCGACCCCTCTAAAAATTCG